ATCGGCGGTCTAGAGTAAAGTTCAAAAAGCAGACGATAGAAAATGGTTGGAAATGCAGAAATAAGGAAAAAATGCACCAAGAAATTCTACCTAAGTAACAACCTGCAGCAGATGGAAACAGTAGACTGCAGTGATGCAGAATCAATAAGGAAACAGGTGCGGAAGAAGCTGGTGTTGAGAGACGATTTCTGTGAGCGAAGGTGAGGAGAATACTGAAGACATGGAAACAAAACGACATAAGCTTTATGAGGCCGTTACGTGAAAAAAAATGAAAATAAAGAGAGAAATAGTAATTTCGTTTAAAATTGTCTAGTTTAATTTTAGGTCAAATAAACAGACAACAGCTTCCAAAGAGACCAAAGAAAAATGCACATTTCAGTTATGTTCCAATAAAAAATTCAGTAAAATTCTTCTTTCTTCTTTATTTGGCTTTTTTTTATCTAAAAAAAAATACAATTGTGGAGTTTTTGGGTTTATGAAAATGGCAATGTTTGCTCGCTATATACGCTGACATTTCTGAAGGCGGGTGGCTGACACGCAATCAAATAATAGTGAAGAAAAAATTTAACTTAACAATACTAATTTTTAAGCAAAGAAAAGGCTTAGAGTCAGGCTAGCTAGGCTTTTTTTGAGTTCTGGAGCAGCCAAAGTTTAGAAAAAGTTGAAAACCAGAGAGCGAGAAGAAAATCTGGAAAGTGATGAGAGTTGACAGATACCATGTTATGCACTTGATACGCCTTGATGAACAAGTCAGTAAAAATCAACCAAGAAGCTTCAAGAAAGGTTTAATCAGACGTGATCACATTTCCCTTTCGAGTTCATCTATTCATCTACCTATTTCTTGAAACAGTAAGTTGAAAAACACCAAAAATATTAACTTGGTATTGACTTTCCTTTTTTTTTTTTGAAAAACTTCCGCTATCTCTTGCGTATTACTAATTTAATACTTCGTATAAGAACTGATTAGAAAAAATTGGTCAACAGCATAGTATTTTGTGTATGTAAAAGAACTAGAGATACAGCCTATAACCTTCCACCACTGAAAAATAGAAATGTAAAAGTTTTTGTTAATTTTGGTCTCCTCAGAAGTCTTGGTTTGGTTTGGTTTTTCAAAAAGTTGGTTTCCTCAACTGCAATTCTCACCATATTCGTATTCAAGAACTACTTTTTAGAAATATGAAGAATTGTTTCTTATTTTTCAAGGTTATACTTCTGAAGGAACTGATGAACTGCCGATTTTTTTGGAAGACTCAATATAAAGTAAGTTGGAAAACCAGATGTATTAACAGGAAAGGGGTAATGAAATGTGAATCTTAATCTCAAACTGACCAAAGTGCCACTGGAGTTCAAAAATGAAGTAGAAAACAGCAACTATCGATCAGATGCTCTAAATCAATAATTGAGAAAAAAATTCTAGCAAAATAACAAACTTGTTCAATAGGTACAGGCTTAGCGATTCCGAGACGTACGACACCTTGCGGAGCACATTTAAGGACTTCTACTGCGTGATCCAACGTACTGTTTGACAGATCTTCATTGTTGACATACATCAATCGGTCACCGGGTACTATTCTACCGTCGGCTTGAGCAACACCACCTGGGACTAAAGATCGCACAACAATAACTGACTGGCCTGGATGCACCGGGTCCTGCAAAAGAAAGTAATCACTTAAGAAGCAGAACGAAGGTTATCATTCAAATCATTCAAAAATTTCTCAAACGAGCTGATCTATCAATACAAGAGTTTTAAGTAAATTGGTAAAAAGACTTAGCCCCACTCTGTAGTCGACAACGGAGAAGCCAAGACCTTTACTATCTTTTTCAAGAAAAACGACAATTGGAACACATTTCCAAATTGCTAAACCGGTAAATGGTTGTAAGGACCTAGATCGTAAACGTTCAGAAACCTAAAAACCAAAGTAACCTGAGAGACAAACATTGCTTTAATCATGAAAAGTATTGATAATTGCCGAAAGTAATGAATTATTAGTTTTTTGCCCTCCAACAGCAAAGTTAGAACAAATCCAAGAGAAATTTGGAAAGGATATTATATCAAAAATCTAAAATCAACAGTTTTGAAAAACCACTACTTGTTCCAAAAGTGCAGTAGTTTTGTCGCAAGATAGGGTCAAACAGGTATCAGACTTTGCCTGTAAATAGCGATAAAACAATCAGTATAAGCAAAAAAAACTTTTTAAACTTTCTTAACCTAATTTACTATTAACTTTGACAAGTGTGAGCATTTTAAAGCCTACCTTTACAAACCTGTCATCAGGTGCCGCAAGCAATGGATAAGCGACTGGCAAACTCTTTTCGTAGTTCTGGGGAACAAAAACGTTAACAGTTTGCGCTTTTCTGGCTACCGTTAAACGGACCCACTGCAGACGAGAGGCTGCTCGACTTAAAGCCTGTCTCACAGTAACATGCGATTCTCCATATAGCACGACGTCATTTGCCTATACAAGTCATTAAGAAGATGAAAAGCAATAAATCAGCTTTTCACTATTTTTATTGCACTATAGTGATAATCCAAAGCCTAGCAAAGAGAAAAATAACTGCTTTGGCTAAATAAAGAAAGCAATTTTGTTTTTTATGCTGGTCTTTCGTTTACGCCGCAACACTCATTTTGATGAGTACTGTACAGCAACTAGAAGTCCATAGTCACTGAAAGAAGACAGCACTTGACACTTTTTAATAGAAAAAAAAGATAGCCAGACCTGCAACAGTTCGTCGCCAGATCGTAACGAGTTTGAATTGGCGGCTGGACCTCCAGGTCTTAAAGATCCAATGTAATGATGTGGACATAGCTGCGTACCGTCCACCAGATCGACTGTTCCCTCAATAGTAATACCGAGTCCTCCGTCTTCGCATTTGTCGGGAATAAGGTCGACACTTATAACATCAAAATCGACACCCAATTTCTTCTTCCACGCAGCCACCACATCAACCAATGTCGTCTGCATATCAAACACTTGTGTTGCAGTCTCCTTGAACATCAAATTCTACTTTCCATTGGGCTTTTCTCTTAAGTTTTGCTCTCCTTAATTGGTCTCTGCATTATAGAAAACCTCTCCTCAATGTGTTTAAGCTAAAATCCACGATTTCATCAGCCCCTTCATGCAAGGATATGAAAAATTAAAAGTTATTTGCAGCGTTTCCCCTTAAACCAAAATATTACTTTTTAAAACGGTTTTTAGTATGCTCTAGAATGACCGAAATTTAACCGTGCCGGGATGGAAATTGTTGGATAATTTGTTTTTTTTTAAACTGTTATCTACAACTTATATAGGCATCCCCGTAGATCCACAGAAAATGACTACTCCGCTCAAAAACATTACAATCTGAAAAAATTGCAAAAAAAACCTTACATAAAACTGGTACCTGTTCTTGAAGCATTTTTAGGCACTGTTCTTGCGGTGTGCCGTGCTGAAACCGCACCAGCTTGAGCTTAACCCGAGATCCACTTTTCATCAAGGTTCGAACAGCTTCATCGTGGTTCATTTCTTCCAACGAACGTCCATCAACCTTAATTTATAAGCTAATCGCTAAAACATCACAATTAGTTCCAAACTATGAGAGGGATATTATTTACTTTGAGAAAAGTCAACTGCCCACCATAATATTTTCCAGCAACGAAAAACGAAAGAACGGTTGAAAAACTGTCTTTTGATGGTTGTTAACTATTGCTATAAAATCCTATAGCCCCTCTTCCCCAGCCACTTGAAACAACTGAACTGGTTTGACTTTAGACAGAAAGAAACCGAAGCAAAAAAATGTAGGCTTTTTTTTGGAAAGTCTTCCTACTTTACCCATAAAATCAAAAAAAATTTTATGTTACCAACCCTTCTCAAAAATAGCATACCATAAAGCCCTACAAAATGAAACAAAGACTAGCCGAGTCTCATCCAGTTTTCTTTAATGATTAGCTAGAAGAAAAAACGATTGAAAAATCAAACAGAAAATGCTTCAGACAATAAAGAATGACTCTTGGCAAAACTATTATTTATGCCTTTATCACCCATGGGATTCAATATCTCAAAAAACTAAAGCTTACTTCAAAGCCTTAAAAATTGTTTTCTTCAAAAATAAATACAGTAGGGAAAGTATTAGCCCCTGTTAAACTTCCTAACCAAGTAAGGTAATTTACTGCCTAAGAAGGAATACGCAAAATTAGTCCCGCTGAAAAAGAACCTTGTTTTCAACGGGTGTTTAAAAACAAAACACTTTGCAGCTACTGACCACAAATTTGCATGGTAACTATATTAATAAATAGAATTAGCAAGAAATAAAAAATTTTCAAGTTGCTTACCTCCAGAATCAGATCGTGTAATTTAATCTTTTTTGTATAATAAGCACTTGAGTTTGGAACCACGGATTTCACAAAGACACCTCGTATTTCAACTTAAAAAAAAAAGGGAAAACCTTGCACGATGAAATCAAACATTAGGTGAATCTACGCTATAAAAACAATAACTCAGAGAGACAAACGCTTCAGCCTGAGCACAAATTTTTGGGAAAAATCCGCAAAAAAAACACAAGTTTTCTGAGGCAATACTGCAAAGTTGTTGAAAAACCAACCTTTGGAATGAACATAACCAACTAACGTGATGCCAAGACCAAGAACTGGATCTCGCGACAGTAAAACTTCAATAATCTCGTATTTTCCCTCAATCCACTTTTCCTTTTTGAACAACGTTAACGCCTTAATAAAGGATACGATTAACTCAGAAATGTATGTAACCGTTTTATTGAATATTCGTTTCTTTGTCATTAGGAACCAAATGACAATTTTAACGTATTAAACATTCCCACGTCTTTTATTTGATTGAAGCTTTTTCAGAATATAGATATAAGGAGTCAAACGTAAAACTAAAATAAATCCTTGTCAAAACTGAGACCAATAATTAATAACCATTTCACTAAGCTGATGATAACTGTAGATAACACGTTCTTCATCAGTGGATGTCGCATCATTATCTGTTTCAGCCGGCGAGTCAGGCGGTGCTGATGAAGTTGATGGTACCTGCGTGTCTAAACAGAAACCGTTTTTACAGCAACAGAAACTGTACATTAGTCTAAGCTTGAATTCTGATAACGTGGACAGGAGAAAAAAATAAGTATTTAAAAAAATTCTGTTTAACACTCCTCTTGTCTACATTACGAGTTTTCGACATTAATCAAGAATATAAAGATAATAATACCAATTTCCTCGCTAGTTTGAGGCTCTTGAACAAAATGCACTTCAGCAGTACTAGTTACAGACACAGCAGATTCCCCTACATTCTCAGGCGTCACATTTTCAGTCGCTGATGCGCTGCAGTCGGCATCCGTCGTCGGATTACCTGTAAAAGTTTCTGCTGCATATGCAGCATCAACAGATCCGTTTAGATTGCTGGTTTCCAAAGACTTTTGACTGGTAGACGCCATACAATATATACGTTTATCAATTTCTTCCTGTAAGGTACGAGCACACATAGCGTCCCGAGTTAACATAGTCCAGCGATCTGTAACAACCGAAGCTTGTTTCGACAGGTTTATTGAAAGATAAACATAAAAAGTAAAAAATTTGTGCTCCTATATATACACTGCATAATATAACTGTGCGTTCTTGAAATAAGAGATTTGCTTGTCAGGAAGTCCGAAGTGAAATGTTCTCCAAAAGATGGAAAGAGAGAAACAAAGAAACAACGAATATCACCAAACATACGCAAACATATTTGGTGTAATAGTGAACAGAAGACGCAAATGCCGATCTACACGTAAACTATCAGCGCATCAGTAAATTGGACCATATTCATGATGAGTAGTTTCTACTACTTAATTTTGGCCTTAAAAATCTCTCTCAGCTTAACAGATTAGCTAAACAAAAAATTACATCGAAAGCAAAATCAGCCAAAAATAAAAAAAAAAAAAACAGAGAGAGAGAGAGAGAGGAAAAAATAAAAATAAACAAAAAGTTGTCAACTTCAAAAAAAACTGGAAATCGATGCCAAACGAAAGAGGTGATGAGTCAATTTCAGGCTCCAACTTCGTGTGCTGCTTACCAGTCGCGTTTCCCATATTTTGCGCGTTTTTAATAACGGTTTTAAAGCAAAAAAAAAAAGAAAAGAGAATGAAGTTTTTAAATATAAGTATTTAATAAAAAAAAGGGAGTAAATTAGGGAGGCGCTGATATTTTGACATGACTTCTTTCAGATTGCTTTATTTTTGAACCTCGCTGATGTTTGCTTGCGACTTTTCCTTTATTCTTTTCATTGAGCTTTTCAGCCAGGCGCCTAATTATATTTGTCATTTCTTTCCTCTTTTCCCTCTGAAAAACTTGAACTTTTCCCTTTTTTCCCCTATCTTTTGGTAGCACTAATTAATTTTTGCACCCAAATTTGGCTTAGTGATGCATAACAACATCGAAGGTAGACAAAAAGGATCTTTAAAGAATAAAACCGTCACTTGTTTCTCCTCGTTGCTTCTTAAGCCAGGAACTGCTATATTACGTGTGATACATCTGTCAATATGAATTACAACTAACGTTTTCATGAACTGCTAACCGCAAAAGATATTACTGAGAGTCTGTAGTGAGGGAGAGGATAATGAGGAAAACGACAAAATGTGAGTAGGAAAAAAAGTAGCCAAGCAAAGTAAAAATGAAAAAGATGATTAGAAGGAAAAAAGGCGAAGGAACGCGAAAACTTCTCTGAGTTTGAGGACGGAAAAGTTTTTTTTTTGAAGATGACAACTTTTGAAGTGGCTAGAAGTTCAATAATGCAGAAAAAATAAAAATAAAACATCCACTTTTTTTTTATTTTTCCGTCTTTTTTGTCTGTGGGTAAAGCACAGAACTTATGAATAATTTTTTCTATAGGAACGGCAAAGAGAAGCTTGCGGCGTCAGCAGTTCAAGAATTATTTCTTCAACAATACAATTTGTCATTTTTTTGAGTAATACTGTCAGCACACTTATTTATAAGATGTTATCTAAATTTGAGGTTGAAATCAATATTTTTTTTTAATGTAAAAGCATTAAAAAACAATGACGTAAAAATTTGCAAAAACGTTGAAGAACTGAATAGATAAAGGAGGCGAGTAATGATCGCTGCGAGATGAGGAAAGTAGGAGGTGGCGTTGATGGACGGGGTAGTGGTTTAGTAGAAAGCTAAGTAGGGGCAAAAAAATGGAACTTAGAAACAAAAAAAAAA